ACCCCCACCCCTCCCCCACCAGTTGATTGTTTGTTTTGGTTTGCTGTGCCCCATTTGCAACAGTGTAGGTAGGGTCGTGTTTCGGCGGCGTCGGCGTCGCAGCGCTGCTAGCTCAGAGCGAGCTGAGGGCTGAAGGCGTCATTTCGTCGCTGTATTGACTGGGCTTGCCTACAGCGTGGGCTTTGTGTTAGGTTTTAGAGTGACGACTGTTGAAGGTGGAGGCATTTGAGACTTTTGAGACTTGTTAAAGTCTCTCTTTTATCCAGGGACTTGGCTTCACAATGAAAGGGATACTAAAACACGCAGTTTGCGTCCTTTGCGTCCAGCCATTCAGTGTTCGAGGTACGTTTGCTTTGGATAGGGAATGCCAAAACAGTGCGAAGTAGCTATTACTTGTCATTTCAGCAAATTCCTAGCACATGACGCTTCAGATTCGCCTAATTGTTTGTCCTGAACCCTAAATCTTTTTGTATTTCTGTATTTATATCAATTTTAATTCAACCGACGCTTCAGGTTGGACATAACCTATGCACCGGTAATTTCGTATTTTGCCTTGATAAAGTTTCCTATCGGCAGTCACGTGTACATTTCTCTTGATTTTTTATCAGATCGATATAGTTCTTCAGTCTCTTACCGCTTCAGAGGTAGTGTGTTCTTATGTCAATGAAATTTTCTCACTCAGTCATGCTCCTTGCTTGTATGATGAATCAGTGGAATTGTTCCTGGACTTGTCCCCCTCTATCGTTTATAAACCATAACTTTATTCGATTTGCCCTCGGCATTCTGCTTTTAATTGGTACTGTCTACTTCAAATGTTTACTCTCTGGCTCAGCTATGTCCTAACCTTTTTGTCATGTTTCTGTCTTGTGTGTTACCCATTTTAACTTTGGCGATCATAATTTGGGTTCCAGATTTAAAAAGTGGCCATCATGGGCAAAGAATTCCTCATATACTCAACTGCGGGCATGCTGCTTGCAAGCCATGCCTTCAAAAAGTAATGACCGACAAGAAGAGCAAGAGTATTATATGTGAAGTTTGTTCTACTCCTTCACCCCTCTATGAAGCAGGAGATGCATTAGATTTGTCTTCAATTTTTCCTCTTCATCTGTACCTTGTTGGTCAATTTCTAACAAGGAATGCAGAGAAAAGGGAAGATGAACCTAGTTTCTCCCTTCCTACAAGAAAAAAAGCTTCATCTTCTAAAAACAACAGGGGTAAGTTTTAAAATTATGTTGCAGCAATGAAATGTATTTGTTTAATGTTAATCGGTGTTTTAAAAATATTTTTTCTTTCAGTTATTTGCAATGAGTGTGATGTTACAACTGCAAATTGCTTCTGCCGTGAGTGCACCATTCCATTTTGTGAAAGTTGTTTTACAAAGGTTTGTATATTTTTCAAAGTTTCTTTCCTTTTAATTTTGTTATTTAGTCTTGAGTATGGATGTGACTAGCTCTCCCCGTCCATGTCTTTCATCTAGATTCATCAAGGTAAGACATTGAAAAAACACGTGAAAGAAGATTTAAGGCTTGTTCACGTGAAGACCATCATGTGCCCTAAACACCCGAGGAATGACTTGGATATGCTCTGTGAAACCTGCAATACACCTGTTTGCATGAAGTGCTCAATTCTTTCTCACAAAGATCATTCAGTTGTATCAACCTGTGAGAAGGTAAATGCTATTCTTAAAATAGTTATTTGGAATATGTCTGAATACTCTCAGTATTAACGAATCATGTTTTTACTTGTGTAGAATGAAGAGAAGTTGCCAGAAGTGAAGGCTGATTTGGAACGTGCCAATCTGCAGAGGGCAAGAATGAAGGAGACTCTAAGGGTAAGTGTTGTGAAAAACACCATGGTACACATAAATTCAAATGATGGTTGAAATTCTTTTCAATTACTCACTCTGTTGGGCTGTTTTCTGCATTTTTAATTTCTTTAATTTACACACACACACACAGTCGGGCAAGTTAACATAAAATTATTCTAACAATCTCTTACATGAGGGAAACTTTAAATTATGTTGGTGTACGGCTAAGCCAATTAAATAACTTAACTTGAATGCTCTTCTTTAAAGAAGCTTTGAAACTCTTCTGAATATATTTTTATAGCTTACATTAGGATTAACAACAATAATTTAATTTTAGAGATAAACACTTGAGAATTTCTCACAAAACCACTGACTAGAAGTACAACTTGGCTCTGTTGGTTTATGTGCACACCAACATCATTTTATTTGTGAAATCAAAAACTGATATGCATCAACCCGTACTGAAATTTGATGGCAAATTAATTGTTACCCCACAATAACACACATAATTTAAGGTATCATCTGTGATCTTAGAGTTAAACAGTGCGCTCTCTAGGATTGTCAGCATTACTACATCCTTGAGTTTATCTGATGGTGTTTTTGTCAAAATACATTACTTGCTAGTTAATTTCACAGCTCAGTCAAATCATTCTTAAACTAAGTCAGTTTGGAGAAGCCTAATTTTGCACTCAATAATCTAGTCAGATAGATTGACTAAATCTGAGCCTTTTGTGTTTATGGAAGCTCATTATCATGTACATGATTGATGGCTTACAGTTAAAAAATACACAACATTTTAATTGTAAACTGTTTTAAAAGAAAAGCTCTGGCTACTAGCTATCTTAAATATTTACATGTGGCACATAATATGGTTGTTGTCTATGCTCACTAACACTTATATTTTTAACACATCCTTTTATGGCAAGTGCTGTTGTTGATGCTGGCTCAATTTAAAATACACCAAGGTCAATTTTTTCCTGTACATCTGCATAATGCCTCTGATCAAGGTAGTTGGCCCCAGTAATATATTTTAAAATAATAGAAGGTGTTTCTCTACCAGCATCAACTACAAATCTAAAGGTCTTACTTTTTTTAAAGATCAGGGTCAAGCTGTTGTCGTTCCTCAACATCCTTTCCTTTCTGGACCTCTGGTGACTTTTTTTTTTGATCATCATGGTCCTCAGTTTGGTTTGATTCAACAGGATCTTTAGAATGTTCAGGTGTTTCTGTTGTCTGTGAACCACTACTTTCCTTGACCTTTAGTTTTTCTTTCCTTCCTCTTGCTTTAGCTTGCATCTCTCTGAACTTTTCAGTAAGATAGCGGTCAACATCTGGCCCTGAATAGTCCTCTGGAAAACTTGGTTTAACCGGTAAAATATACTTATAAAGTCTCTCATTTAAAACATATAATTGGGTAGTTGAGGCACATCTAACATTGAACCACCAGTCGCATGTTAGCCCTACTTGGCTGAATATGGTACCATTTGGGCACAAGAAGGAAGCTTGCCCTCCATTTAAATCACAGTAGTGCCACACCTACAATTAAATAAATTTGAACAATTATCATTCTGTGCCAGGGCATTATTAAGTATCAGTACGAAAGAGGCACTTACTTGGCAATTTGTTTCTGGGTCACCAAAGAATCCTTTGTAACGTTGTGTCGCACAGCTGAAGCTTGTTTGTGGAATAGAATCATAAGCTGGGTAGTCAATACCAGGTTTGCCAGGGGTAGATCCTTCCACACTTGGTGCAGGGAATGTTTGTGAGACAGTACCTCCACCTATGTAGAAGGCTGTATTTCTCTCAGGCGCGTCTGGTGATACCTGCAAATTTTTATGTTTAATTTTGTCGAAGGGGTCAATGTAATTTACTGACGTTTTGATCAAAGAACATACCTTTACTTTTGTTGGTGCTGCAGCAGGTCCGTTACCTGTCTTTGTTTTATGTAGAATTTTCAATAGCTGGAGTATAGTCTTCAAGCTCATATCGAAGTTTTCAGGCGTTAGAGATTGTGGAAGTTTGTTTGAAAGCTGCAATCCGTTAATCAAATGAGCAACAATTTCGCGGCTACTGCTTGGGCGCGCCACGTTCTCAGCCGTTGGATTCGCCTGGAAAAACCCGATGTTTGTAAAATCCTCCGAGGATTTAATTGGCAAATAGTGACAGCTATGGTACTATCTTACAATTGGGTCCTCTGCGTACACGACGGGGTGGATGTTGACGGGGTCGGGGTTGCCCGTGTGGACCGGAATGTGGTGTTCTTCCCCGACGGCCGTGGGTCCGGGGGCGGGCGCCGACGGGGGCATCATTTTCTGTATCTCCTCGAGGGACACGACGACCTGCTGCTCCACCTCGGTGCTGGTGTCGGCAGGTGCAGAGGCTGGCTCTGAGGCTGGTGCGGAGGCAGGCACACGCTCGTGAAGGGCTTGTTCTCTCTGTGCCTGCTGCGCCTGGAGGGCCCGCTGCTCCTGCAGGGCTTGCTGCTCCTGGACGGCTTGCTGCTCCTGGAGGGCTTGCTGCTCCTGGACGGCCTGCTGCTCCTGGAGGGCCTGCTGCTCGTGGAGGGCTTGCTGCTCGTGGAGGGCCTGCTGCTCCTGGAGGGCTTGCTGCTCCTGTAGAGCCTGTTGCTCTCGCAGGGCTTGTTGGCGCTGCAGTTTTCGCTGCCGCTGTGCCGCACGCAGGTCGTCGTCCTCCTTTTGCCGCTTAGCCTGTTGACGCATGTCCTTCTGGATCTGGGCCTTGACGTAGTAGAGTAAATATTATTTAGATAATGAAGAATATTTTAACTGCCGAAAATCGTTCGAACTCTTGAAACTTCCGAAGTATATTTCATGGTTTTGATTTTGAAACTACTTAATCGTTTCAAGTTTTACTGATAATTTCATGCCCTATGCCATTACCTGTGCGCGTAGATCCTCCTGGAGCTGGGCCTGTGCGCGTAGGTCTTCCTCGAGCTGGGCGTGCATGCGGTGGTCCTCCTCCTGCTGCCTCTTGGCTTGCTGCTGGCGTAGGTCCTCCTGGAGCTGGGCCTCCAGCTGTTGATCCTGCTGTAGGCGCTGCTGTTGCGCGCGCAGCTTTTTCAAGTGCTGCGCCCGGAGGTGCGCCTGGAGTTGCTGCTCTCTGAGCCTCTTGGCCTGCTGCGCCTGGACCAGCGCCCGCACCTCGTGCTCCTGCTGATGGTGCGCGCGGAGCTGCTCCCTCAGGCGCTCTTGATGCGCCATCAGCAGCTTGAGGCGGTATGCGTCCTCCAGTAGGATCTGTTGGCTCTGCTGCTGCTGAAGTAGCAGCTGCTGCTGTTGCTTTCGTTGCTGCTGCCGCAGTTTGGCCCTGGAAACAATACGTGAAATGTTTGAAATTGGTGTGCCTGGCGTCGTAATGACCAACCACGACGGGTAGGCGACCCGTCGAACAGCCCCGCTGCACCCGACCTCAGCTGTGAGTCTTCGCCGGGGAAGACGACGTGGTGCTGATTTTGTGCGGGGGGTGGGGCGGTGGCCGGCGCGTTGCGGTAGTAGTTTGCCGTGTCGGTGACGGGCTTGAAGTAGTCGTCGGAGTCCTTGTTCTCCGGCGTGAGGGGCGGCGACGGGAGGAACGGCTGCTCTTTGGCCCTCCCCGGGCGAGGACTCTGCTGCTGGAAGTCGAACCGGAACAGACTCCTCGGGGGCGGGGCGGCCGGGCCCTGCTGGGGTGGCGCCGGGGTGACTCCGGGCCTTAGCACGTAGGCTGGCAGCAGGAAGCCGTTGGCGCCGAGGTTGGCGCTGCCCCCGCGGAGGCGGCTCTGTGCACAAAGGGGTGGTAAGTCGAGTCTGTGGACCGACTGCACACGTCAGTCTGTCGCGTGGTACTCACCGGTGGGCTGAAGGGTTCGATAGCGTTGTGGACGGGCTGCAGGGCTTGCAGCGCCGAGGGCCGCTGCGTCAGGCCCTGGGCCACGTAGTACGTCATGTAGGGTACCAGGCGCCGGTAGCGCTCCAGGGCCGCGCTCTGCGCCGTGGCCGCGGGGGCGGGAGTACTGGAGGGCCCGGTGCCGGCCGCCTTGGCGGTCGCAGCGGAGCAGCCTGTAAGCAGAAGGGGAACGGACGCTTAGTCGCCAAGCCCTCTTAAATCTTTACTCTGACACTGAAAGTAAAGTTCATAAACATTGACCGGACGGAGTTCACTGAAATTTGTCCTACAAGTTCGTGAACTTCAAACGAAGTTTGTCGATGTTCGCCCAGAGTCCATCAGAGTTTATTGAAGTTCAACTAAATTCAAACTAAAGTACCCTTTAATTCAATCTTATTCAGTTAATTTTTAGAATGGTTAGTCCGATATCTACCCTCAGATTACCCTTTGAGACTTCGAATATCTCAAAAAACCGTTTTAAAACTGACCTGGAGCCCACTCCCCTCTGGTGCGCCGTGGGGGTAGGCAGCCCATCGGGCTCCACGAGGGCGCGGTACATGGGCCCGCGGGCGCACCGCACGGGCGCGAGCGCGAGGCGCGGTGTGACATTGTAAATCTTGTCACGAGCTGCCTCCTCAACGGGACGACTAGTCCCGAAGCCACCCCGTTTCATTTCATTTCCACCGACCAGTCGGCAGTGCGCTTTCTAAACATGAATTTGCCGTGTCTCTGGGTGGTGGGTTTTTCGGACGGCAGGACGTTAGATAAGGGAGGGAATTAGAGGTGTCCCCGCCGCCGTCGACTTGGTGGTGGAAAGTCCGAGGGTGGTGACGGAGTGGGGCGCGGAAGACCCGGGAAAGAAATAATTTGCCCGTCACCCGCGACTCTGATGCCGTCAGCCGAGGAATGCAACGCAGTGACACGTATTGAGTCATTCGGCTTTGGACACATTCTGACTGACAGGCGCCTGTAATGGGCGCCTCGCACGGCACGGCAGGCTGCACCCCGGGGGGCGCCAGACCAGGGCGCGGACGGGAGGGGAGCGAGCCCGCCGGGTCGGGAGGTCGCGCCGCGCCGGGAGTCGTTTTATGCCAATTTATCGACGGCGTTTCTGCCCGGCCGTTGACAGCAACTCAGCGCGCTGCCGGCGGTGAACGGCATAGTAAATTGTTGCATGGCGGTGGCCGTATATCGGTGAGACGCCCCCCCGCGGGCCCAGCGGGACCGGGACGACTGGATTTCACTTCGCGCGTTCAGGATATTTTGTCGTCGAGGAGTCCCGTCTGTCGTGGGGCGGGCGGGCGGCGCTCCCTCCACTCCTGTCGCTGCTGCTGGCAGCAGGAGATTTGCCTCACCTTGCCTTTTCCTTTCCCTCTGAGTGGGCCGGCGCTGGCTGGCCTGGGCTGGGCTGGGCGAGCTGTCAATGACTTAATCCTTTCCCCCGGTTAACGGCGCTGCCGCGTCATGTGGCGGCGCCCGGCCAGCGCTGCTGTAATTGGCTCGCGACAACGACAAAACGCCCCGCGCACTCGCCTCCCCGGCCGCCCTTTTGCAGTTGCCTAATCAATTATTTGCCAGTCGCGACGGCTGCTTATCCTCTGCGCCTGCCCGGGCGGAGCGGAGGGGTGTCGACAGGTGACCCTGCTCTCCTCTCCTCCCCGCTGCTGCTCTGGTCTGGTCAGCGGTCGTGTCGCGCCCCGTTTATCTCTCTGGGTCCAGTTTGAGCGCGCGGAATGCCTGCAGCACACACGCCCAGCCCAGCCTGGTCCTGCGGCCTGTCCTGTCCGCAGCTTGTTGTTGGGCCCGTCGCTCGCGGCCGGCGAGAGCGGCCCTTCGGGGCAGAGAACAGCCCGCGCGCGCGGACTTCTCGAGGGGGGAAGAAGAAGAAGAAGCTGGCGGATAAGAAATCTGCGCAGATGTGATAGAGCGCGCGAGCCGGCCGCTTTCTTCTTATTCCTCCCCCCTACCCTTCCCGCCGGGGCTGACGTCTTGATGTCGCCCCCCGCTTGCAGCTCTATTCCGATCTGACCTCAGCGGCCGCCGCTATAAGCTTCCATTAAAAGCCCATGTCGGCCTCCTGATTCTGCGACGGGACGCGACCATTACCTCGTATACGTTTACGTCCTGAATAGGCAGCGGCAGCAGCATTGCCGTGTCTCTCTTTCGCTTCTTACCGCGCCGGCCCGCGAGCTGCAGCGGTGAGCAGCTCCACTCGCACGGAGTGCCCGCCCCGCCCCGCCCCGCACGGCCCGGCAAGGACGCGCGACGAGTGAGTGCAAGCAGCAGCAGCACTCGCCGGTAGCGTTTGGATAAAAAACATGGAGCAGCTCTGCTGACCCGTGGCTGCGGCATTGTCGCGAGTCCAGGCTGTTGGCTAGACCTGGACTCGGCGGGTCACCCTTTGGATGGAGTGCCTCTTGGCTGGCTTGACGTGGTTAGCGTGCGCGGCCTCCGGCTGCTGGCTTGCGCCCGTCTGTCTGTCTGTCTGCGCCCGCTTGTCTAGCCCGCTCTAAGTATTTCACTTGATTTGGGTTGCGCAGTGCCGGCCAAGTGCTTTGCCTCACGCCTGTGTGAGTGTTTGGGCAGCCGGGGGCGCTCTCGTTGCATGCATGCCGCCGGCGCGGTGTTCTAGTGAGTCGCGCGCAGGGCCGACGAAAGGGAAGGGCCGGCCGACCCCTCTCGGCCGCACAAAGGGATCCTTGAGTGGCAAAGAGAGAAAAGAAAAGGCGAGTGTGATGGGCGTTATGGGGGAATCCCTTTTGGCGGGACGCGTCTACTCAGCCGTGTGTGCCTGACCTGACGCAATACGGAGACCCGCCGGCCACAGCCGCGCCGCTCTGCGCCGCGGTTCGAATCCCGCGCCACTTCTTTTTGCCGCGAAAAACGGACGGCCTTGCCTGCTTCTCGGAGCCGCGCATGACGGGCAGACGGATGGGCTGGGAGGGGCAGGGCTCGGTGTCACTGTGGCGCGTCCCGCTATCGTTGGCAGGGATCGCTGGCCGGCGTGGCGGCGGGGTGGTGTCGCCTGCCCTCCTGGCTGGATGATATAATTGCGGTGAGAGAACGTCTCCGCGTTGCCGCGCGCCGCCATGAGATAAGGCATTCCCCCGCGGGGCCTGTGTCGCCACGACAGGTGATTGGCTTCCTGCAGCCGCCCTGCTGAACCTAAATAGATTTTATGACGGCAATTACCCACACACATTAACTTCGGAATCACTTCGCTCAGGTGATTATTATAGATGCAAAGTAATGCGTTCAAAAATACTGAAATTCCTCTCCAAAACGTATTTTTTTGCTGGGCATGTGATTTGCGCTGATTTTTTCCTCAGGTAATTTAGGGTGGCCCACCCAGTAGACGTCGCAAATCACCTACCATGTATGTCTGAAATGGCACACTGTAAAAGCAACATCTGCTTTTTTGTAGGTGAAATGGAAAACTTTTGAGGAAGTCTCCTAAACTAATGAGGGAATCCCTCTAATTTTTTTTGTTGAGATTCCTTCAAAATCTGAGGACTTATTCTTCTCGGAGTCACGTAGCTTTTCAAAGTTTTCCATTTTCTCCTCAATATAGCAGGATATATTGTTTTAACCGTGCAGTTGACTTAATAATTCTGGATGTCGCCGCCGCGCCGGGGCGGACTGCAGCCGGACGGGGCGGGGCGGGGCGGGCCACGGCTGGTCGCTGCCCAGCTTGGAGTCGTAATGCCTGGCCGTCGTCCTGGCCGTCCTGGCCTGGCCGCCCATGGCGTTCAGTTTCTCTTCCTCATGCGGGCGCGGCGCCTGGTGCGGCGCGCGGCGGGTCAGCTAATGGAGACGCCTCCAGGGAGGATGGCCTTATCTAGGCGTGTTTGAATTACGCTGGCGGGCTGAGCTCGCCACACTCTTATTCTACTCTCTTCTTAGCCGGCCCACTCTCCTCCCTCCGTCTTCCCTCCCTCTTTCTTCCCTTCCTTTTCCCCCTTATGCATCGCCAAGGAGGGGGGAGGGGGAGGATGTAACTTTTACGGCGAGCCAAAGGGCGACTCGCGGTTGGCGCTCACGCACAGAGAAGGATGTCGTTGTGTGAACTCCTTGCTCGGTTTACGAGCGGAGAGAGAAAGAGCCGCTCAGCCACTGCAGCAATTAGCAACGGTGTGGCGCTCAGGAGCGCTGCTCGCGCGGGTTCGACTCCCGGCCGCCCGCGACGGTGCGATGTCGTTATCCCTCAACTCTTTTCGTGTGGATGACACATTGCCAGGCTTCCCCTGCGCGCTGCCCCGGCCTCGGCCGCCCCGCTCAAAGACCAGTCAGCGACTAGTCACGGTCTGAATACGGTGCGCGCCAAAGCTCAGCGAGCAAGCGCGCATGGGGATGTTTACTCCATCGTCGGCGATTCTTGCTCGCGCGCTCAGTTGTGCAAAAAGGGATCCCTTTACTTCTTTTGTGCTGGGGGTGGGACTTTTATTGTGACGACTCTAAGTAACGCGCGAGTAGTTAGTTAAGACTGTTGCTGTAAAGGCGGTCGGAATGTTGCCGTAAAGGTGGTGGCATTGAGTCGAGCCGGGAGGCCGGTGGGTGATGGACCGCATCGGGCAGCGAGCGAGCGCGCCTGTCAGGCGGAGGGTAGGCAACCATCTGACGCGCCCGTTGTGCCGGTGGCCTACCGGGCAGGCGGCCGCGCGCCTGCGGATCGGGGGGTAGGCAACCGCAAGACGCGCGCGCGCGGCGGTGGTCTACCCGGCAGGCTGCTCCCTCCCGCCGCGTCCCCACAACAACACGTGTCCCGCCGCGATTGTGTAACACGTGGACGTCCCCCCTGAATGGGCGGCTGCATAGCTATCGCCCGCCCAATCTTGCTCCGGTTAATTTCTGGAGGTTGACCAGCGGCTCTGGTCCCTTACGAGCTCGTTTTCTTTCTTTTCTCTTTCTTGTAATGTGCCGACTAACTGCTGGACCGCGCGGTTCAAGGCATGCAGACGGCGGCAGCAGCAGCGCTGCTGGCGAGCGCGCTGGCTCTTGTTGGCATTTCGCGAACGAGGCGACTGGCCCAGTTTTATCAATTTGGGCTGTGATGCGCCATAGCTGCTCCTGCGACCTTCACTCGTTTTGGCCGTTTTTAGCCGTCCGACTTGGTTGGCGCAACACGCTTTGGTGACTCGCTCGCCCTCGGGCTGCTGCCGCCGGTTTTGTTTTC